TTACTTTAAATTCAAAAGATTGTATGTTAATATCCACATGTACTACTAGCAAGAAAATTTGGGATAAATTACACACTATATATGAAGGTACTAGTGAAGTCAAATAATCCAGGTTGAATATTTTAATGCATGATTATGAACTATTTTGCATGAAATCTCATGAGACAATTTTAGACATGTATACTAAGTTTTTTTTAAATTGTGACATCATTACATGCTTTAGGTAAAGAATTTTTAAACTCTGAAAAAGTTTAAAAAAAAATTATATTATCTACTTGATAAGTTTGATGTTAAAGTTATTGCTGTTCATGAATAAAAAATTTTGAATAAATATTCTATTGATAATTTGATTGGCTTACTCATTATCTATGAGTAAAGTTTGGGTCAAAAACATTTGGATGAAGGTGAAATGATAGTGCTAAAATCTGATGACATGAAGAAAAGTGGCTTATTAGATGATAAAAGTGATGAGTTAATAAGCAAATTGCAAAGCCTACTAAAACACAAGCATAAGCATCAACAAAATTGGAACAAATATAAAAATGGTAAAAATGTTAAGATTTTTTCTGACGTTATTTGTTTTGGATGTAGGAAACTTGGACATAAAAAAAATTAGAACCCATTGTATGACATACCTGAAATATATATATATATATATATATATATATATTCATTATATTTTTTTTAATTTTCTAGGTTTTTATTTGGGTTTTAATTTTTCTTCTTTTTTATTTCATTAAAATTTTAAATTAGTCTTTACATTTCTTCTTATGAATTTTTTTCTAATCAGCACACACACATATCACTTTTTTTTATTTTGAATATACTTTAGAAAATCAAATCTTTTTCAAAGAACTTTTTTAAATAAAAAATGAAAAATTTACCTCTTATTTTTCTTGAATTTTTATGTAAGTTATAGTTGACTTCTCTAAAAATAGTCAAGGGAAGTAAGCTCATGATTTTGTTTTGCTATCTCATTTCTTAAAAAGGCTATTTTACTTTTGATTCAAAATCTTTATCAAATTATAAATTGGATTTTGAAATTGAACTTTTTCATCTCCCTATATTTTTTCTATCTCATAAGGATCTTTTGCAAGTTATTGAATCTACCTCATTATTTTCTTAATCAAGTAGTTAGTTCTTATCACAAGAATGGGTTTGTTTTAGCTAAAATTATAGAAAGGTAGCATATTTGTTGAAAAGAAAAGAGGCACAAAATGAACCCAAAGGTGAAAAGATGCGCAATAATGCCAAATATGAAAAGATACACAAAGTATATTAAAAATCAAAAGATGCACGATGTCATCAAATATGGAAAGATACGTAAAGTATATCAAATTCAAAAGAAGTGCAAAGTGCACCAAATAACTAAAAAGATGCACAAAATGAGCCCACAAAAAGTAAGCTTACCTTTCTTGTATTTCTTAAATCTTAAGAAACCACTAATATCTATGAATACTTTAGATACTTGAGTTTGAAAATCATGATTCTTGATTCACCAATTTTTGTATTAATCTTCTATTAGATATATTTCATGAAAAGAGTTTTAAAAAGATTAGTATTTCCTTCTCTATTTTGTTTCTTGATTTAGATGTTGGAATAAAAAGTTTTTGAGCCTTTAAAGGAACTTGAGTTTGAATTAATATTTTTTGAATTTCTAACCTTTTTAGGTTATATGTTGTCAATACATGCCTTACTAAATTTTTGAATAAAATCAAGAGGTAATTTTCTCATTCCAAGAAACTTTAAAATTTCAAACTGATTTCTTTTAAAAATACTTCTTAAGCAGATCAAGTATCGTTTGATTTTTTTCAGTTTTTATTATTTTGATTTTATGAGCTTCTCTTCTTTTTGATAATGTCAAAGGGGGAAGAATATACTGTTGCTTTTATGTATCTATTTTATTTTATCTTTTTATCTAATTATTAGTTTTATTTTACTTATTTTATTTTAAAATAAAAATTAAAAAGAAATAAAGTTTTGATTTCCCCTATTTTAAATTTTTATCTTAGAGAGGGGGAAATTAAGAGAAAATACTTTTAATTTTCAAATTCACCAGTAATGTTTATCATCATCAAAAAGGGAGAGATTATTGTGACTCGAACTCATAAGTTGATGTTTTAGATGATAACAAATATTATGGCTCATATCTTTATGTCTCCTAATATTTTTCATTCTATATTTGTGTGTCTATACTAACATGTCAGGAATACCATATACCATCCAACAAAGAAATAGATATCAAGATTGGTTAGAATAAGGTTATGCTATAAAGAGTCTATAATTTTGATTTCTTGAGTCAAGTCTATAAAAGTTTTTACTAGCTTGGTGTCCATGCACATATACACTCATGGGAGTGAGATATAGTCAAAAGAAGAAGTTTAAGTTTTGAACTAATCATACTGGATGATTTCAATCATGCAGGATAATCAGCTCTTTGAACTAATCATACTGGATGATTTCAATTATCCAGGACGATCCTTTATGATCATGGAAAATAGCCTCTAATGATAATTTAGGCAAAGATTTAATATTTAAATTTTATTATAATCATCCCAAATGATCAAGATCATCCTAGATGATCAATGTCATTCATGCCTAAATTGATCATGTGATTAGGGGATTAATTAAGGTTAAATTATTCAATTAGATCATCCTAGATGATATTTAATTTGTAATGGATGATGTTTGCCGACATACTTGATTTTCCTAAATCATCTAAGATGAAAATCATATTTCCTCTAATCGTACATGCTATCTCCTAAACGTCTCGAACTATTTGTTGGATGACATGTTGATTACCACCAATCTTGAACTATTCATCATGGATGATCTATACAAATTGGTAAACTGGTCGTACATGACTATGTTGGGTTATCTGGCATGAAGGGCATTTTTGTACTGATCATACAAGACAATCTCAGGATCATCCTGAATGATCTTTACCCCATAATTGATTATTAATGTTTTTCAAAGCCCTCTATTTATGTTTTATTAAGGCACCTCGTATGTATCTTTGGCAACCATTGAAGCTTCATTTTTTTGGAGAAAACTTAAAGAGAGAACTTTAAACGGAGAGAGGAAATGGTGGATTTGGAGAAGGAGAAGATCCTTGGAGGGGATTTTAAGGGAGTGTGGAGGGATTTCACAAGGTTGATTTGGCGAGCTTGCACCTTAGTACCATCAAATTCAAGGTTCATCTTGAGGGAAGTTTTGGAAAGAAGAATATCTCTTTGTTGTTAAAGGACCCGTCTACTCCAACACACTAGGAAAGGTGGAAGTCATTTTATAAGGGCTTCTCCATCTATCTGTGGGGGATATAGAAGAGTCACTAAAGGTTTAGTGCAATACTCGGAGGGGACCTCTGATGAGTGGATGATTGTCAGGTTTGACCAAATCACTATACATCTGGTGAGTTCTTTTTGATTATTTCTGCACTTTATTTTTACTATGATTAACTACTTTGGTAAAATCTTTTATTAATATTTTTATTATTGATTTAACTTATTTGTGCTGCAAGATATAAAATGATTTTTTTTAGTTAAATAAGTTTTAAAATATTCAATTCACACCCCTCTTGGTTACTATCGGGACTAGTTCTTTAGGGTTTAACAATCCGAACGAACTTTCAAAATGCTGGTGCAACCTACTAGTGGGCAATGACTCATATCTTTGATTACCTGATACATAATCAAGTTGAGTGCTTCATAGAAATTTTTTTTTGTCATGAGAAGAGTTAAAGAGGATCACTTATATGAGTTAAGAGTCTTTTTTGAGTGTTTGTGCCACTACGACCTAAAATAAATTCTTTGAAGTGTGTATTCGACATCACTTTAAGTAAATTTTTAAGTGTCGAAGTGAGGCACAAAGAAATTGAAATTGATCCTACCAAAGTTGAAGCCATCTTAAATATGCCACCTACTAAGAGCCTTACCTAACTAAGGTCTCTCTAAGGTAGATTGGCATATAAAAGGAGGTTTATTTCAAATCTTTCTATAAGATGTCAACCCTTCTCTTTCCTAGCCAAAAAGGACACTAAGTTCATATGGGATGAGAAATGTAAAAATGCTTTTAATAGCATCAAAGAATATCTTACTAACCCACTAGTCTAGGTAGCTCCTATTCCAGGGAAACCTCTTATTCTTTAAATTTCTTCCCTCGACAAGTCGCTTGGCGCTCTTCTAGCTCAAGTCAATGATAAGGGAAAAGAAAATTCTCTCTATTACCTGAGCTGAATACTTCTCCCCATGAAAATTCAGCACCTTTCAATTGAGAAGCATTGCCTTGCTTTAGTTTTTGCATCCCAAAAACAAAGATATTACATGCTTTCTCATCAAGCATGATTTTCGTGCAATTTCATATGACCCAACCTAAATTGTTAGGATGTTTATAACTCCATGTTTGATTTTGAAATTGAAATCAAGAATTAAAATTTCCAGAGAAAACTAATCTTTTAAAAATCTCTTTTTCAAAACTTTCAACCAAACCCAAATAGTTTATTGTTACATGTATAGTACAAATAACTAGTAGAACTTTTATTTAACATTGAAATTAAGAAGACCTTTAGAAACATTACAAAAATTAAAAACTTTACAAAAGGCTTAAAATTGGTAAAGCAACTTTCAAAAAATTATCAACCTTGATTGCTTAGAAAATATGCTAACCCTATAGTTAAAGGCATTCATCCAAGCTTAAATAGACCTAGTATTTAGGATAATAATTTTGAATTGAAATTTGTAATAAACTAAATGGTACAAAACTCTCAATGGTGATATTTAAATAGAAAATCCTAGTATACATATAGCTAGTATCCTTGAAAGATGTGCATCCTTTAAATACAATAATGTTACTAAAGATACTGTTAAACTTAGGTTATTTCCTTTTTCACGTAGGGATAAAGCTAAGATGTAGTTAAAGACAATGCTCCCAGGATTAATTAAAACTTAGAATGACTTAGACCATAAATGTTTAGCTAAATATTTTCCTCATCTAAAATTGTTAAGCTTAGAAATGATATCACTTAATTTAAACAGTTAGATGACAATTCTATTTTTGAATCATTAGAGAGATTTAAATCACTCCTTTAAAAATATCCTCATGATGCCTTCCCTGATGGATAAATATTTAAACCTTTTATAACATCTTTATAAGTTCTTTTTCATCAATCATTATGCTATTGTTAGTGGTTCTTTGATATCAAAACCCTTTGATAATGCATATGCTTTGATTGAAGAGATGGTTATAAATAATTTTCAATGGCACTCTAAAAGAGTTAATCCTATAATGGTAGCTAGTATTTATAAATCAAATGCTTTATAAATTTTTACTATATAAGTTGCTACCATACCTTGAAAATTAGATAATCATGGAATTAATTAACCTCAAAATTTCCCATTTACTATAGAAAATAATATTTTTGGAGCTTCTAATGACTCAAGTTTTGCAAGAGTTGATTCCCTTAATGCCATCAATAATAGAACTAATAAAGCATTCTTAAACACATATAATCCAAGTTAGAGAAATCATCTCAATTTTAATCGGAGTAATAATCAAACAATTAATACTAATTGGAACTCAACCTAGCAAATCAGGTAGAAATTTGTAAGCACCCTCCATAAATTTTTCCAAATCCAATGCCTATTTATCCTCCAATATATCACTTAACCATCCAACATAAGGATAGAAAGCCTTATCAAAAGAATTAGTTTTGCAAATGGGCACACAATTGCAAACTCAAGCTACAACCATTAGAAATATTAAAAACTAAATAGGACGGTTAGCTAGATCTTTAACAAATAAAACCCAAGTAACTTTACCTAGTATCATAAAAGTAAATCCAAAATAAAAGATAAGGAGTAATGCAAAACGATTTAGTTGAGGAGTGGAAAAGAAGTCGAGGAACTGTTTGGTAAGGAAGAGAAACCAATTGATTATATTGTCAAGGAAACCCCATTAGGCCTTGTTAGTGCTGAAAGGTCATCTCAACCTACTTATGAGTTAGAGAAACTAATGAGGAAGGTAGTTGAGAAACAACCACCACCTTTTCCCCAAAGATTGCCAAAACAAAATTTGGATAGGAAATTCTTAATATTTTTAAAGATATTTAAAAAATTAATAATTAATATACCTTTTGCTATAGCTCTAGAACAAATGCCTACTTATGCAAAATTTATGAAAGATATTTTAAGTAAAAATAGAAAATTATGAGATTTTGAAATTATGCTCTTTCTAAAGAATGTAATGCTATTATATAAAAGAAAATCTTATAAAATCTTAAGGACCTTTGTAGTTCCACTATCCTAATGGCTATAAGAGATAAATTTTATGGGAGAGCTCTTTATGATTTAAGTGCTAATATATATCTTATGCACTTCTCTATTTTTAAAAATTATACCTAAGAGAATTCCAACCTACCATAGTTACCCTGTAATTAGCTGATAATTCATTTACCTATCCTAATAGAGGACATGTTAGAGAATGTGGATTATTTTATTTTCGTTATAGATTTTATTATTCCAGACAATAAAGAAGCAAGGCAAATACTATTTATCATAGTTAGACCTTCCTTTAATATCCATGGGCTATGATTAATATTCATAAAGGAGATCTAACCATGAAGTTCAAGGTCAAGAAGTTACCTTTAATATCTTAAAATTAATAAAATTTTCTAAGGATTAGGGTGAGGATTATTGTAGAGTAGATTTTGTAGACTCTTGTGTAGAGCAAGTTGTGGAGGGACTATTAGGAGATAATTAAATGGTTTTGGTGTTTTGTGAGGAGGATTTGGATGAGATAGAGGAAGATGTTTTTAAAGTTATTAATGATAGCTATATGATGTATAGATAGAGATTTGAGATCCTAAATACATTTTTCTTAAGGAAATCTTTAAACTGATCTATAATTTATGAACAAAAGTTAGAGTTGAAAGCATTTTTTGTCCATTTAAAATATGCCATTTTAGGAGAGGATTCAACTTTATCTATCATTATTTATGATATGCTTGAAAATATCAGGAAGGTCAATTTATTCCAGTCCTTATTTCATATAAGTGGGCATTCGAATGGTCTATTGCTAACATTTGAGGGACTATTCCTTTCTTTTGTATGCATAAGATTTTATTGGAAGAAGCTTGTTAACCTAAAGCAGGGCCATATAGTAGGTTGAATCTGACCATAAAATAAGTAGTAAAGAAACAAATTTTGAAGTAGTTGGATGTTGGAATCATTTATTTTATTTCAGGTGATTGAGTTAGTTTTATTCGTTTTCCCAAAGAAATGAGGATTAACTATTGTTACAAATAAGAGGAATGAACTTATTCCTACTTGGAATGTGACCAAATGGAGGATCGATATTGATTAACAAAAGCTTAATAAAGCCACTAGGAAGGATCATTTCCCATTGTCCTTTATTGATCAAATGTTTGATAGATTAGTTTGACTTCCTTTCTATTATTTCTTAGATGGCTATTCAGGTTACAATCAGATTCCCATAGTTCAAAAAGATAAGGATAAGACAACTTTCACTACTCCTTATAATATATTTATGTTTAGGCACATTACTTTTGTCTTATTCAATGCCCTTACTATATTTCTAAGTTGTAGATGTCGATATTTTTTATTTAATAGAGCAAGTAATTGAGATCTTCATGAATGATTTTTTAGACTTTGAAATAACATTTGATATTTTCTTAGATCATTTAGAGTTGGTTTTGAGAAGATGTGATGGTAAAGGAATGCATTATCCTCAGACAAAAATTCTCTCTTAGGGGATAAGGAGGTTAAAAAAGCAAAAATTCAAGTGATTGAAAATTTTCTACCTCCTACATCTTTTAAAAAATCCATATTTTCCTAGGTCATGCCAGATTTTACATGCATTTCATAAAATATTTTTCAAAAATACCGAATAGCCTTACCATTAGCTTGAAAAAGTTATACCTTTTAATTTTAATTATGATTGCTTTGTTGCAATATAAAAGCTTAACAAGTGCTTAGTTGCCGCACCTATCATCATTTCACGTCAATGGTTTCTTAATTATGAATTGATGCATTATGTTAGTTATTGTAACATAGGAGAATTTTTAGGGCAAAAGATTGATAAGAAATTTCATGCTATTTACTATACTAGTAGAACTCTTAACGATGCCCATATTAATTATACAATAGCTAGAAATGAGTTACTTTCTATAGTATTTACTTTTAATAAATTTAGATCTTATTTAATCAACACCAAAGTAATTATTTTGAATGATGATTCTACTATCAAATACATGTTGACCAAGAAAGTTTTTAAGCCTAGATTAATCAGGTGGATTTTATTGCTACAAGAATTTGATGTTGAGCTTTTGGATAAGAATGGTTTAAAAAATTAGGTGCATGATCATTTACATATATTATATAGGTAAGATTATAATGATAATGATAATGAAATTAATGAAATTTTCCCTAATGAAAGTTATTTTCTTTGCATTCTTGGAACATGCCTTGATATGCTATCATTATTAATTATGTTATTCGTGGTGTTATCCCCACTGATATATCTTTTACATAAAGACATAGATTTATGTATGATGCCAAATATATTTATTGGATGAACCTTATTTGTTTAGGAATTGTAAGGACCAAATTATTAGGTTGCATATCCCTGAAATTGAGATTGAACTGATCATTAATTTGTCATGATTTTGAATACATACATCTTTTTAAAGAGCTTAGACGAGCTTAAAAAATTCTTCAATATGGATTTTACTAGCCTAATCTATTTATGCATATAAATGCTTATGTTAAATGATGTGATAGATGCCAGAGGGTAGGAAATATTTTTAAAAGAAATAAACTACCCATAACTTATATAATTGATGCTAAAAAATTTTTTATGTTCGGTGTTTGGACATCATGGGTTTTTTTGTTCAATCCTTTGAAAGTCAATACATTTTGATAGCTATCACATATGTATCTAAATGGATAAAAGGAATAGAAATTTCTAAAATTAATGCTTAGGTCGTAGTTAAGTATCTAAAGAAAAAATATTCTATATTTGGAGTGCATAGAGTCTTCATAAGTGATGGATAGCCATTTTTGTAATAAGAGAATTTAAAATATATTTCTCATTCATAATATGGAATTAATAATAGAATAACAACAAATTATCATCCTTAGACTACTTGTAAAAAATAAGTAATTAGGATATGATGAGAATTTTAGAGAAAACAGTAGGTCCAAATAAGAAGGATTGGTCATTGAGATTAGATGATGCTTTATGGGCTTACAAGACTACTTATAAGACTCCAATTAGCATGTCTCCTTATAAATTATCTCTTAGAAAACCTTGCCATTTTCCCCTAGAGTTAGAAGTCTAGGCAGTAAAAGAATTAAAATATAACTTTAAGGGTGTTGAAGTAAAGAGGCTGATACAATTGAATGAATTATAAGAATTTTTAAATAATACCTACAAAAATTCCAATTTATATAAAGAGCAAATTAAAAGGCTCATTTAGAAATAATTTAAGCATAGATAAGAAGTCATGTTATATAGTTCTATGTTTTTTTTTAAAGTTAAAGTCCAAGTGGTCAGTTCCATTCACTGCTATAAAGGTGTATTCTTTTCGAGCTTTTGATATCAAGGTTCATAAATCTACCAAGATTTTTAAAGTAAATTGTCAAAGATTGAAACCCTGCCTAGGAAAAGATGTTTATTACCTTAGAAGTTTTACAAAGCTAGCTCATCTTGGATAGAACTTTGGCATGGTTCTAAAGAATATAAACTTAGCACTGGTTGGGGGTAACCCAATTGAACACCCTTATTCAGTATTAGAGGTTTTGTATCAGGTGTTCTTTATTATGATTGGGAATTCAATTTAAAAAATTTAGCCTAGCATCATAATGTTATACAATAAAGTGCTACAATATCATATTAATTATAAAAATATTAATTAATTTGATCATGTTAAAGCATCAGAGGATTCTAGCATCACAGTGCCAAATTACATTCTGGATCATCGCAGTGCCTTCCATGTAGTTCCATCACATTGTGCTCTATAGTCTTTTTTTTCTGATGGAGTACCATGGTGTCATACAAATGGCACCGTGGTTCTTAGTAAAATCATTAATA